GCCGTAGTGCCAGCGAAGGTCCTGTATATATTGACAACAACTCTTTTTTTCCATTGTAATATTACATTTAAAGAACCTCAATTGAGTTATATGACTAAATGGTCTTTACTACAAATAAGTTTAAGATGTAGCTTTATAAACACATGGAATTGCAAATAATACAAGAAAAATTTGCAAGAAAAAAATATGCTCCAAAAAATTTCATATGCAGTTCCCAAAAATCAGTACCTTAAGAAGCTAGCAAGCTTTTTGCAATTTTTCCACATTAGCCTAATCATCATTTTAAAAATTTTTCTACAAAAAGTTTTTTCATGGGCCGGTGTAGTTCCATTAATGAGTAAAGCCACCAACTGAGATGTCGGCATTCCATATGGGTACCAATACCTGTTCCTGCTGCCTCACTTCTGATCCAGCTCCCTCCTATAGGCCTGGGAACACAGCAAAAGATGGTCCAAGCACTTGGGCCCCTGTTACTCATAGGTGAGACCCAGAGGAGGCTCTTGGCTCCTGGCTTCAGCCTGGCTCAGCCCTGGCCATTGTGCCATCTGGGGACTGAACCAGCAGATAAAAGATACTCCTCTCCCTTCAACTCTGATATTCAAATAAAATAAATAAATCTAAAAAAAAAGTTTTTTCAGATCATTATATTCTCAGAAAGGGGTGTTATTAAAAGAAAATATGCATTTTAGAACACATGTTCTTAATATAGTTTTACAGATTTACTTTCAGTAGTTGCTTGTCTTTAGGAGAAAATCAGTTATTCAACTCCTTTACAAATCATAACATCCACATGTGATCCTAATCTCTATATTGAGCTCCTTCTATAATCTCAATTCTGTCAAAATTTTCACTTTCCCCGTAACAACAATGGAGTGCATATACAAGGGTTTTCCCATAAGATTTTTTTTAAAAAAGATTTATTTATTTTTTTGAAAGTCAGAGTTACACAGAGAGAGGAGAGGCAGAGAGAGGTCTTTCATCCGGTGGTTCATTCCCCAATTGGCCGCAACTGCCAGAGCTACACCGATCTGAAGCCAAAAACCAGTAGCTTCCTCCAGGTCTCCTACGCGGGTGCAGGGGCCCAAGGACTTGGGCATCTTCCACTGCTTTCCCAGGCCATAGCAAAGAGCTGGATTGAAAGTAGAGCAGCTGGGTCTCGAACTAACGCCTATATGGGATGCTGGCACTTGAGGCCAGGGCATTAACCCGTTGGGCCACAGCGTCAGTCCCTTCCATAAGATTATATCACCTAGTGAGGTCAAAGCCATCTTAGTTTGCTTAAGTACATTCTGTAACACACTACCATGATCGTAAAGTGGTGAAATGGCCTAGCAGTGTGTTCCCCAGAACATATCCTTTTTAAGTGATGCATGATTATACTTTGAATTTTATATTGAAAAAATCAAAGTATGATATTTTTCTTCAAGAGCTTACAATTTAATTTTGGTATAGGTTAAATAAATATACACATTCAGAGATACAAATGTACCATAATCTTTTGGGCTAGTATTGTGGTTTAGCTGGTTAAGCCACCACCTGCATCAGCAACATCCCATATGAATGCTGGTTCAAATCCCTGATGCTCCACTTCCAATCCAGTTCCCTTCTAATGGGCCTTGGAAAGAAGGAGAAGATAGGCAGAGTGCTAGCACCCTTGCCACCCATGTGGGAGACCCAGATGGAGTTCCTGGCTCCTGGCTTAGGCCTGGTCCAGCGCCTACCACTGCAGCCATTTGGAGAGTGAACCAGCAGATGGAAGGTACCTGACTCTTTCTCTGTCTCTCTTCTCTCTGTAACTCTGCCTTTCAAATAATCTGTTTTTTTGTTGTTGTTTTTTGTTGTTTTTTTTTTTTTTTGACAGGCAGAGTGGACAGTGAGAGAGAGAGAGAGACAGAGAGAAAGGTCTTTCCTTTGCCGTTGGTTCCCCCCTCCAATGGCCACCGCGGCCCAGTGCCGCTTGTGGCTGGCGCACCGTGCTGATCCGATGCCAGGAGCAGGAGCCAGGTGCTTCTTCCTGGTCTCCCATGGGTGCAGGGCCCAGCACCTTGGGCCATCCTCCACTGCACTCCCTGGCCACAGCAGAGAGCTGGCCTGGAAGAGGGGCAACCGGGACAGAATCCGGCGCCCCAACCGGGACTAGAACCCGGTGTGCCGGCGCCGCTAGGCGGAGGATTAGCCTAGTGAGCCGCGGCGCCGGCCTCAAATAATCTGTTTTAAAAATTATTTTTAAAAACCATAACCAGTTCTAATTGATATAACAGAATAAAATAAAGTTACTGACCATTTTGAAGAAAGAGTACTACAATTTACAAGTGATCAGACCTAGGTAAAATTGATACTGAACTTTGCTATTTAAGAAGTGACTCATAAAATTCACCAATTCCCAAAAATATTCCATGAACCTCTCTGGGTATGTTTTACCATTTTATTGATAAAAAGTCTGGCATCCATTAAAGATAAATGACTGAATAAAATTTATATCCTAAAGACAAAGATTCAAACTGGGTTCTCAAAACTAAATCAAGGCTGCAACTAGATTTATAATTGTCAAGTTCTTTCATATAAGTAATCTGATTTGATCATTATAAAAACCTCATCATACAATAACAGCAGATAATATTCCTGACTGCATATTACATGGTAGACGTTCTTCTACACCAAAGTAACTCTTGTACTTCACAAAAAAAAAAAAAATCCCTATAAAGGAAGGATTCTATTATTAGCCCATCTTACAGATTATAAACAGGAAAACATGAGGTTTAGAGAAAACAGGCAAACTACACAAGATGACATGACTAGTGATTACCAGAATCAGAATTCAAACCCAGCACCAATGATGTTCATCATAAGCTCACTTGGGCAGGTTAACACAAAGCAAGTTACACGTTTGGTACAGTGCTTAAAATTCTACTTGAAACTCCCTCACCCTATATCGGAGTATCTGAGTTAGAGTCCTTTCTTTGCTTCTGATTCCAGCTTCCTGCTAATGCCCACCGTGGGAGGCAACAGATGATATATCTAGTACCAGGATTCCTGCCATCCACACAGGAGACCCACAATGACTTCTGGGCTGGCTTTTGCCTGTTCCAGCCCTGGCTGTGTTGGCTTTTGGAGAATACAACAATGGATAGAAATTCGCTACCCATGTGCCTCTGTCTGTCTCCTGCCTTTCGATTAAAATGAAAAATACAGTTTTAAAGTATTTTTAAAAATGAAAAATTACCAAAGTCATAAAAATTGTAGAGAAAAAGAAGCAGAATGTCTTCTAATTCTTCACCTTAGTTAGTTTCCCTAAACATAGTTGGAATAATTACAATCATTAAATTCAGAAGGGATTGAAGGCTTTAGATGCTTGAAACAGAGTGTAAGCAGGTAAGGAACACTGGCAGAAAGGCAAGGAGAAGAAATTCCATCTGGCTAGAGAAGATTTATCTTGCATAGACTGAAGGCAAAAGAAAATGTGTACCTGAGCAGGGACAGTGTATTTGCCATTCTGAAGTAGTTTCAGAGCTGGGAGGATGTAGAGGTGCCTCTAACTAATGAGGTTAGTAAAAGTGAACAACTAGACTGATCTGTTTTTAGAGAAAATGTAAAGCCACTAAGAGATTTGGAATAGAAGTTGTAATACCATCAAAAGAAGTGACACCTCCACCACTGCCAAAAGTAGCTAACATACAGGAAAAAATAGTATAAGCATTGAAATAATTTGACTACGCATTTTCATTCTTCCTTTCTTTTCTTTTCCTTTCTGTAAGCAAATTAGCATTTATAGTTTAGCAACTCCTCACTGTGAACACCTTCCTGTGGAGTAGAAACTAATAGAGGAACAAAATTAATATAACATGCTTCTCATTCGTTGTCATACCAGATTCTATGGTGCTGGTTATATTAGCATACAGATTTTTCTCAGAATGATGTTAGAATCAGCTGAAGAAAGGTACAACAGAATCCCATTCCAATGAATTAACTGAAATGCCAACCTAAATATAAAGTACATGTCAAAAGTAGAATTTGCAATATACTCAAAGACAAATTAACTGTGACAGAGGCCTGAGGCAATGATAGCAGGACAGTAGTACCAAGCACTTTTTAAAAGACGTATTAAATGAGGAAAACTAACCCTAGTGGAATTTCTTCTCTCATTACTTAAAATAAACCAGGTCACGGAGATGGGTTTACACTATGGTACTTTGCTCATTTTAATTTCACTTTTACTTCATCAAACCAGAAGTTCCCATGGAAATACCTTAAGACACATGCTCACAATTCGGGAATGCCTAACATGTCAGTGTAAGTACTTTTACATGAATTCACCAAAATAAAAAAGAATGCAGTGAGAGCCCTCCAAGTTTTTTTTGCTAATGTCAACAGCTATTTTATGAGTATGAATTATCTCTGTGGCTTATCACTGCATGTGTAAAATATATTACATGATACCTTGTGAAGTCTTAATGTGGAAGACAAAGGAAAGGTCTGAATGGTACAAAGAAACATCAGAAATGAAGCTGAGCTTCCTAGAATACAGTAATCATTAATTTTATCCCTCCCGAAGCCATTACTGTTAAATATACCTTGATGAATTAAGTTCAAGTGTAACTACAATCGAATATATGATTCAACTGAGCTCTGACCTATTTTTCTTCTTAAAAGCAAAAGGGAATAATAATAGTTGTGAGACTTATATTTTTTCGTTCTAGGGTTCTTCTAATAGTCATTTTACACTAGAGATAAAAGCAAAATGTACTTAGTGACTTTTTTTGCTTGAGATATAATTATTGCTGCTACTGCTCATAAGAGAATTTGTATTCAATAATGAGACATATATTTATTTTTAAACTGTACAGACCAACAGACATTCAGGAAGAAAATGAATCTCAATATATAATCTGGTATCTAAGCCTAAAATTCTATCATAACCACATGATGTATTTACATACAACACAACCAACAATCAACATGACAAACAAATATATATGATTTATATGATTCCAAATACCCACCCCTAGCAGAAAGCTTTTTGGTGTTGATAATTTTGGCAGCATATTCTTGTCCAGTAGGGATTTTCATACATCTTCTCACCACTGAGAATGCCCCCCTGGAAACCAATAATTAGCAGGTCATCAATAAAATCAAATAAGGCATTAAAAATTTAAATTCTGAGCACTTTTATTGATTTTAGTTGATTTTGATTGTTAACTATCAATGCAACATTCCAGAAAATGAACAATCCTTCCTGGAAACACGGACCTTCTTTAGTATTGATGGATAAAAGTAAATCTTAATCAACTGGGAGCTCACATTATTAATCAACAAAATAAAAGGAAGTGCCGATTATGACCACTCTTGTTTGCACATAAAATTTGAAAACATTTTACAATTTACACTCACAGGGCACCAAATGCTCTGAGAAAACCCTGCAAAAACAGAGCTGAGGAGGAGCAGCAAAAATCTGCTGCCTATTTATTTTAGTAGAGAAAAAAATTAATGTGTCTCTAAGTAAGGAAGTATGATGATCATTTTCATTAAAATGGAAATCTTGAGCACATTTGTGTGGGTTTTAAAAAAATCCTGGTATGGTGATTTCTCTGTGCCCGGTTTCGGGATGGGGGAGGGGAGAGATTTGAATTAAGCTGCTCTTCCGACATATTCTCCATGTTTTAACAGCAGCAAAATATATGGACATAATTTTCATTACATTATAAAAATATTTACATTTCCTTTAGTTCAACTGTACAAACCAACAACACACGCATTAAGTACTAGTGGAAACTAGAGGTATTGAAATTGAATTTTGGTTTGATGCTACATAAATCAACATTCATGGCTCAGCCCCTAGGTCCCTGTGCAAACTGGTCCTCGGTAGGTCTTCGATCCCCTTATCATCCCGAGGTAGTTCTGCCTGTTAGATACAGGAGGTCATTTTCCACAACGCTAGGCTACTCTGGGGAAGCGCTCCCCGGGTCTCCAGAGTGCTTTTTCCACTGCCTGTACATAAATAAATCCTCCCAGAGAACGCAAAGGTGCGCACGTAAACCCCAGTTAAAATGATGGTGGGCCAGTAATCCAGCGCGGAGTAACAGAGGCTATGGGGCAGGGCTGCGTTCTGTTGGGGGCCCCTTTTCTGAACAACTACTGGGATGCGAAGCAGACGCGACACCAAACCGAGTTGAACTTTCGGCATCAATAAAAATGGCACCGTCTATGGCACAGAGTTCCCACCCGAACCTGGGTCACACCGCCGACCCGCCGGCTGACCAGGAGGCATCTCTGTTTACAGAAAACGTGATCTATGTTGCATCCTACGTGGGTTTGTGTTTCCCCTCCAAACACACACACACACACACACACAACACACACACGCGCTTGTCAGGATGACAGCTACAACTGCAGAGACCGTAAATTCACCAAGTCTCTCGGGGCAAGACTGGGTGGGGGAGCGCAGCCGGTGGGCTACGATTATCAGAAGGGGCCAGGGAGCGGGCTCTTCCCTTCTCCGTCTCCTCCTCTCACTAAGACAGCACCTTCCCTGAAGCGACATCCCAGAGGCCCTTCTCCCGCTCCTCCGGTCACCCAAACTCCCTCGCCCCTTGCCGGGAGGCCGGCGGGTCGGGGGCAAGGCGACCCGCCCTCTGCTGGAAAGGGGACGTGTGATCCCGGGCAAAGGCTCTTACTTTCCGAGCTCCTCGAAAAGCTGATACTCGTCCGTGAACCTGGTGCAGGTGGTGGTTGAAGCCATCCTCGGTCGCGGCTGTGCCCTGGCTAGGAGCGCGACGGACGAGACGCGAGCAGGCGCGCGGCTTCCCCGGGACTGGCCCCGCGGCGCTGTCACCCAGGGCCGCCCTCACTTTCCTCGTCCGAAAGTAGCTCGCCCGCCAGGGAGTGTGCGCAGGGGCGGGGCGGGAGGGGAGATGGCCAGAAAGGGTGGCGTGGGGTCTCCTCCCCACGGCCCGCCGAGTCTCCTCCTGCTGCGGGGCCTTGCTTCCTCCTCTGGCCGCTCCACTCGTGCCCTCCGGAGCCCCTCTCCCCAGAGGCAGGGGCGGGCAAAGTACTCAAGAAGAAGGGGCGAGGGAATGGAAAAGCAGCGAAGCACGGGGCGAGAGGCGAGCAGTTGCGAAACGATCCGCACCGGGGGCAGGAGCTGTAGAGGTGGAGGGGAGGGAGTCCGAGGGGGCGGAGTGCGGAGGGGCCGAGGCCGCCGAGCGCTAGAGCCCAGCTGCAGCTGTCAGCAGGCGCGCCGGGGCTCGGCCGAGCGTGCGCGCCCGGCACCAGCCTCCCTCCGGCGCCGGCGGGGACGGGCACCTCGGCGGCCTCGCTCTGCCGACGAGCCCGCGCGGCTTGGCGACGGCGAAACGAGAGAAGGAGCGCCGGGGCTCGAGCGAAGCCTCTCCGCCGTCCCCAGGCCTCCGCCTCCTGCGCCAGCGCCTCCTCCCGCCGCTCCCTCCGCCTGCCCGACCCCTCCCTCGCGAAGCCCCCTCCTCGCCGGTCCCACACCTCCCTCTAGCGACTCCAAGCCCCGTCCCTTCGCAGCGCTGCCTCCCTCTCCGGGCTCCACAGACGGAGAAACTAGGTGGGTGGAGGACGTGCAGGCGGAGGGACTGTGGAAGGGTTTAGGTGACCGAGGCGAGAAGTCAAGATCGCCCATTTCAACCCTCAGGCAGGCTCCTGCCCAAAGCGGGGGGGTGGGGGCTCAGGGAGAGGGACGATGCGGGGCAACTCGTGGACTGTGCCAGGCTGCAGCAGGGGCTCGCAAAAATTACCCACTCTCCCGTTTGGGGCGTGGGACCCTAGGGACCTCCAGGCCGGCTCCGGGCCACAGTGCCCCCGGGGTCGCGCGGCCAGGGGCGCTGCCACTTGGACTGGGCGCCGCTCGGCGCCGACACGGTAGGCGCCGGATGTGGGCAACTGAAGAAGGGTCGCGGCTTCCCACAACCTCCCAGCGTCTGTCGGGGCCCCACCCGGCCGAGGCCACGTACGCCGCGGCTCGCGGGCGCCCAGGGAGGGTTTTCTCCCTCCCCCGCAGCCCCTTCAGCCAGGGGCGAGGACGGCCCGTGCGCCACGTTTCACTTCAGCTTTCACTGGCACCTCCCTGGCCATCTCCCCTGCTGTTTTCCCAGTGGGCTGCTCAGACTCGGGCCATCCGCGAAGGCCTCTGCCCCAGCCACGGACGTGAACAGAAAGAAAGCAAAAAACTTCGCGACTCAGCCACACCTTCCCTCCTCCTCAGAGAAACTCCCCGGTAAGCTCGGCAAGTTCTGGTAGTAAGGCGGCCTCTCGCGAGACTCCCCGCTCTGACGGCGGGGGCGGAGTAGCGGGAAGGTTGGTGTGGGTCACGGGACCCTGTGGGGTGACGTCACTCGCATCACGTGAACGTGTCCTGCCTGTTTCGCTTTGGGAAGGCAAAAAGGAAAGGAGTCCTGTGTGCTTTACTTACATGCGCAGAGATCCGCCCGATAGGGGTGGCACGGGAGTATCCCCCGTAGATGGCTCTCTGAAAACCCACTTAAGGGTGCAAGAATATGCCTTGCTCTTAAGCATGTCTGCTGTTGTTTCCGGTAAACAGGAAAATAATACTACATCGCATTTAAAATAGATAAATTACTTTTGATTATTAAAACAACTTCTGGGCCTTGCTTCCAGTTCTAGGTCTTGAATAAATTATGCAGTTGCACATTTAGAGCCACATGTAAAACAAAAGCGTTAGGGAGTCCTTTACAAATTACTGTCTTTTGTTTCACTTAATCCCTGCGTTCCCATTGCTCATAAACTCATCCTTAGTATTACATCATGAACTTAAAATTTCACAGCTGGAGGATAAAATGTAACTTGAAGTTACAGAGAATCTAAGATGTAAAGGCTTTGTTGCTTGCTCTCAGCGGCTGTTAATAAATTGCCTTGCCCGGGGTCCTACATAATCAGAATTCTCTTATTTTCTGATCTGGGAAATGCTGTTCTGCTAAGGACGGAGCTTCTGTTAAAGTACTCAAGATGTTCCTATATTTTAGCGCTCATTATAGCAGAATTGAAGTTTGTATGTGTTTTGAAATATCAGCCATATAAAGCAAGAAAGGTTTGGTGTAAAATATTCAGAGAAACATGATACCAAAAAGTACACCAATGGAAGAAGCATGCTGTCTAAACAGTAATGATTGGTCTATAACTTGAAAAAAAAAAAACACCGAATTTGGTCTTGGAAAAAGATTTTGAATGTGTAAATATTTAGTAATGTGACTCCAGGTTATAGTAACTTAATATTCTTTCCTGAATATAAAAATGAAACAGAAGAAGTAAAATTAAAGCAATAAATTAGGATAAAAGAAAGTTTTATAACTGGGAAGAAAATCATTTCTTAAAAATTCAGGTAATGAAGTCTACTTAATTATGCGATTTATCTCAGTTATTTAAACTACGAATTATAAATGGTTATGATACTTGTGCAATGTAATAAACAACTGATTTGAATAATGTATTATTAGACAATAAGTGTATACACATATATACTTTTATGCCAATACTTTTGCTTAATCTGTGTTCTTTGATCTGTATTATGGACTCATTAAAATATTTATATCATTAAATTATATTATTAAAACAGTTATTTACAATTATTTCTGACGTATGAAACTCCTTAAAATCAAAGACCATTTTTTGAGTTGTACTTTGACATCATTTCAGGAATCAAACAAAACAGAGTTAAATAAAACATGTAGACCCTTTAACAGGATAACATAAGATGTTATTCTTTGGTTTAGAGACAGATGTATTTACATTTCATCATACATGCCTAACTGACTGCTCCCAAGAACAGAATGGCAGAGGGAGGCATGAACAGGGAGTTGTTAAAGAGAAAATTATTAATAAAACTTAGTAAAGATGATGACACATACTTTATTCAAAAGGGGCCATGAAAATGGCCAGATTTTGAAGTGGGGAGGAAAATTGGACTGACCTGACTCCTACTAGCACAGTGGATTTATAATCAAGGAGTGGGGCAGGGACAGTGGATGTAAATTGCTAGTATAGTATATTGCTATACTAACTATAGTTAGTATTTTTACCTGTCTGGGATTTACTTATGTGAATTGTATAAGGCATCTACTTTCATTTTACCCTTCAAATGGATAGCTAGTCTTGACAATGCGTTAACTGAATAGTGCGTCATTTCCAGCTTACTGAAAAGAACTTGTTTTTTAAAAAAATCATACATTCTTTTATATACTGGATTGTTTTATTACTGTCTGTTATGTTCCATTTGTCTGCTCCTGTACCAACACCCATCTTTTAGTTAATATAACATTAGAAGATGGCATCATCTCCCTCATCATTCTTTATTCTCTCTCTCTCTCTCTTATATATTTTTATTAATTGGGACAGGCAGAGTTAGACAATGAGCAAAAGAGAGAGAGAGAGAGAGTTATAGACAGTGAGACAGAAAGAAAGGTCTTCCCCTTCCGTTGGTTCACTCCCCTAATGGCCACCATGGACAGCGCTGCACTGATCCGAAGCCAGGAGCCAGGTGCTTCCTCCTGGTCTCCCATATAGGTGCAGGGCCCAAGCACTTGGGCCATCCTCCACTGCCTTCCTGGGCCACAGCAGAGAGATGGACTGGAAGAAGAGCAACCGGGACTAGAACCCGCCGCCCCAACTGGGACTAGAACCCGGGGTGCTGGTGCCGCAGGCGGAGGATTAGCCAAGTGAGCCACGGTGCCGGCCATCATCATTCTTTATTCTCAAAACATTTTTTTTTCTAAGAACCAAAGCCTTAAATTACCTGATGGCAAGAGTTGGCAACATAAGGGGCGGGAATTTGGTACAGAGTTAAGAAACTACTTAGAATGCTTGCGTATCCTATCAGAGTGCCTGGTTCGAGTCCTGGCTCTGCTTCCCTGTGAGGCAGCAAGTGATTGCTCAAGTACTTGGGTCCCTGCCACCTGCATTGAGTTACAGGCTCCTGGTTTTGATCTGGCACAGTCACATCCAACATTGGGAGTAATCAGCAAATGAAAAGTGTTTCTTTCTCTTTCTCTTCCTTTCAAATCAAAATTAAAATAAATTTTAAAAATTGGCTATATGCTTTGTATCAGGTATATAATATGGATTTTAGACAGGATAGATTTTAGAATATATTTTCACAATCTATTATCACCAAACCTGTATCATTGTACTACTCCTGTCCCACTTACATTTTGAAAGGCCCAGCTAATTTATTACTATATAATTACTACTTATTCATGTGCTAGATCATCAAGGCCCTGCTATTTCTTGTTCCTCTGCTGTATTCCTTCCCAGACTTGGTTATAGATTTGCTCATTGAATACTTCAAAAAGTAGAAAGAAGTTTTAAAACTCTTATTTGCCTGATTACATAGTGCATGTGGCTAAACCTATCCACAAAATCTGCTTCATCATGCTTTCCTAATTGGTTTGGAGCTGAATGCATAGCTGTGGTACAAGCATCAGATTTCCCTGCATTAAGATGCTAACTTTTGGGCAAAGGAATGTGAGCAGATGTGATTGCATGCCACTCCCAGACCCTGGCCATGAAGAATACCCGTGTGTGTTCTTTAATGTTCTTCACAGTTTCTGAATGACCAAGAAGCAATTCCAAGGGCAATATTGTAGGCACCATGTTGAAGACTGCAGAACCTTTCTTAGCCTGCAGTACCTAAAAGACTTCAAGACTTAATAGAGCAGAGTTGCTGATAACATGGAAACTCTGCTCTGGACCAAAGAAACGAACTTCTTGTAATGTAAGAACTGAATATTAGCCCACTGTATTTAAATGAAAATGTATAGAGTTCTTAAAATCAGAAGTCCTGTACAAATCTAACATAACTCAAAGCCGAGGTATCAATTTTAATGAATGAATGAAAATATATAGTTTGGATTATGATTGTGTTTTAGTCTCTATAATATGCTGCTCTCCATTGATGTGGCAACTGGGAGTTGGCTGTGTTTCAGATTGCCCATCTCTAGTCAGAGCAAATCTGTTAAGTTAAATGAATAAAAAGAAACCAGTTTACCACTGGCACTTCACACTACCAGTGTCCCTTACCCCCAAAACACACCTCCCTAACACATACACGTGTCTTACTTCTAGTCAATAAAGGCAATAGATACTGAGATTCTGCAAACTATGGCAATACCACTGGAAAAGGTCATGCACATGTCTCTTTAAAATCCTTCCATTTTAATGCTGTTTTATTCATTTATTACACCCATGGGGAGAAGGAAACCTCAATTAATGGTTTATTGGCAAGCAACACCTCTTTTTCACAACTGCTTAGTTTATTTAACAAGGAAAATATGTTCTCAATTTAAGAGTGAAAAGTGTTCTTGAAGGTGGAGGCAATTAAGCTGGGAGTGTTGTCAAAGAACAAAGTAACAGACAATAAAGCACCCCTGAAGCTTGAATGTGAAGAATGATGTCATTAATTTTGCAGTATTCAGCCTATAAATTTGTATGTGTGTGTGAGTGTATTGCTGAACATTTGTAGAAAGAATTGAAAGGTAAGTTTGAGTCAAAAAATTTGAAATCCATGCATGTTTTTTATAGCATGAATTCTCTGTAAACTTTTTGAAGACCCCAGGTGCTCTGAGAATATAATGTAGAGAAAATAATGTCCCCATTTTTAGCATTTACTTTTGAGTGGGACAAATTGATATTAATTAATTAAAAAATAAATATAAAGGAAGAAATCACAATCTGTGAGAAAGTAGAATACTTGTTTTGATGGTGTACACACAGAGGGTCTTTGTAAGAAAGGTTGAGCAAACAAGGATCCCCAAAACGAGAGATAATGAAATGAAACATAAAATACAGGGAAGAGCATCCTACTAGGTATAACATAACAAATTCGAAAAAGTGAATGAAGTCAAATCTGGGCAACATGTAGTCAGCAAAACATGTCTGCAGAAGTGGGCAGGGGAAAACTCAGGGGACACTTAAAACTGTGTGAAGAACAGTGTGGAAACACTGAAAGAACTTAAGAATAGGTGTAACGTTACTGTCCCATGAAGTTCATTCTGTCTGCCTTGTAGAAAATGAATTTTAAAATCTATGGTGGTCAACATAAAAGACTTTTCTGTATAAACTCTGCACAGAGTATACAAGACCACAAATCAGTAAGTATTGTCTGCCTTAGAAAAATTCTCCTGGGCCGGCACCATGGCTCACTTGGTTAATCGGCTGGCATCCCATGTGGGCGCCTGGTTCTAGTCCCGGTTGCTCCTCTTCCAT